GGTACTTCCAACCTACCTTAGCCTATCTGAAACCGCTAAAAATACGTATTTAAACTTTGCTATTGCAATTTCGCCCTCTAGCGGCCATTTTGCAATCTTGAAAGTAATTTCCAGCCATTTCCCTGAGCCACTTTACTTACATATTTTTTTACTTGAAATCGATACGACTAATAGTTTGTGAGATGCGGCCGACCACCTCTCTTAGTGGCCCACCCTGTACATGGCAACGTAAGAGGCAAAGTAATGAATGCTAAGCTTACCGAAAACGCATAGTGCCACCTGGAAAGAAAGAAGAAAATCTGTTTAGTACGGAAGGAGATCTGTCCAAAGCCAAAATTATTTGAAATCCGCAATACAAAGAGAGATAAATGTAAATAATCCGTCACACTTTAGTTGCGTTTTAGAAAGTTAAACTTAGTTCAAGCTGCGAGATTTATATATTAGATATCATTATTACCACCTTTCTGCAACCTGGCGCCCCATTCTCCATTATCTACCCATTAATGCTCCAGTTCAAGTTCACTACACACAATGAAAATCCACAAGACCACAATGATTCTATTTTTCCCATTTAAGAACGCGATTCACACGACACAAAAGGTCTATCGGCCTGTTGATGACTGATAGACAATACACGGACAACAATATTCACACACCTTTTCGCAAAAAAACTATGTACATTATAAAAATGATTAGATTCTCTTGCTTGACAGTTCGATTTCAGCTTGTTTATTGTTGACATTTTCTAGAAAGTGCCTTTTCGCATGGCAATATTTCCAAAGACAAGTTTAGCGTTCCAACTTAGCAAATGTCAACACCTAAACGAAAAACTCTCCAAACGCCTAAAAATCGCCTTTCACTAATTTAATTTTAAATTTAGAGCCATTTATATTTGTCTGAATTTCGTTCAGCTGCAGTGATTAATGCGCAACACCAAAACTAAAATTAATAATCGAATTAACTTTTTTTTAATAAAAATATTGACTAAACAACAAAACCGCGAAGAAATCATTTAAAAACGAAACTGTCGCTCAACTTCCAAGCGATGATAGAAATCAACGCAATTTCAACTATTCAAAACATTTTCTTTAAAAGTTCTGATTTCAAGATTTTAAAAAAATTTACATTGGAGCTTAATTTTATTATCTTCTAGTTATGATCCTCGCTCTTTTTGTATTATATTTTTTTCAATCTCTTCTGGCTTATTGCTTCAGCTGATCTCATACCTTAATTAGTCAAAATGTGCCATTTAATGCTCTATCCAGTGCTCCACCTCGATCTGATGCAGAGAAATGGGCAAAAAAGAGACACAATGCGTTTTGGCCTAATCTTAAATATCGAATTCAAATTCCGCCTTGAAAATTTGAAAATTGCTTGTAAAGTAACCAAGAGGTAAATCGGAACCAAATTCACACTATAACTAAGCTGACGATTTGCCTGACGTTCGTTCTAAAGCCAGTGGTTTTGTCTAAAAATCGTATTTTGCAAAATTGAAATCGATTGAGAAACTTGAGTCATAAGAGTTTGAAGGTCGAATTTTCTGCATAACTGTTAATATCGGGTCGATTTGAAAATTTTAAAATTTATTGAAAAACTTACGATTTTCTATAAAAACTGCACATGAGAAATCTGAAAAATTAATGTTAGTCGAAAAAGTTGACATATCTGAAAACTTTAATGCCGAATAGACGATTTTCCAATAAACTATGCTCAGTCAAAAAATGTCCAATGCATTTAAGGCCGAGTACCCGAATTTATGGAAGAATATAATGTTTGCCTACAGAGGTTCCTTTTTTCAAACTGTGCTTTTGCTCCAAGTACCTTTCATTTTACATACATGATATATAAAGTAATATTTAATTGCAGCTAATATTTAGCTCAAAAGAGACTACCTTTCTTTCATCACTCAGTGGTCATCACTCTTAGCGTGGTGTTCAAATTATAATTAAAATATTTACATATTTACATACTGTCGATAGCAATTCATAAGAATTAAGGTCAACATCCGTATTTAATACTGTCTTGCATTTATTTTTCCATTACTGCCTCAGAATGATGCGGAACCCGTTATTTCGTCAATAAGAACACGCTGTTATTAGTGAACGGAAACACTTGAAAAAGTTACCTGTTTTACCCGAAGAACATTGCAGCTCTATAATTTCGAAAGCCGATATATAAAATTGGCCTCATAAAATCCTGCACATGCGAGTAGCATAAAAGGAAAATTACAACCCTGGTAGCCATCTACTTCTACATAATCGAATGCTGTCCGGATCCAAACAGCCAAAAAATCGCTAAATCCCCGATTTTTCACAAAAAACTCATTTAGTGGCTGTTAGTCTGCTTAAAATCTTGATCTGGACCTCTTACAGACTGACGGGCGCTGGATGGCAAAAAATTTGAAAAATGTCGGACGGATTCTGGCTACTGAAATTACCTAGGACACAATAATTTATTTAGAGTATATCTAAATAAGTGCAGCCTTATAGGGCGCTATCCGCTAAACGACTACAAAGCAATAAAGAAATTCTACCTACCTTTCGAATTTTGGTCTGGATTATGTGCTATTTTAACATTTCAATAGTCTATTTCAATCACTAGGTTGATATCTTGATTTTAATACTTTTTAAGCATATTGAATTTGTTTAATTTTAATTTAATAACAAGCTACTGCGGAAAACCTGACTGATTAATGTTGAAAATTTGAGTGAAAATCATTCAAATTTTGCAAACACTTGGTATCCCTCATGAGAAATAAGAATGTTTTAATTTAAAGTTTAATTCACAGAAGCAAAAGTAAAAAACCATACCGATTGAAATGGTCAAATCACTCGTTTTGTGAGAAGACAATAAAAATTTTTTTATTTTTTTATTGAAATAAAATTACTACATGTAACAATACAGTGCTTTTTTAATTACATATTTTATTGTAATTGAAGCCTGTCCTGACTCAACACAGCGTTACCCATGACTAGTTTTGTGTAAGCCTTCCATTTTGTTCGCAGAATTGTTTAAGTATTTGGTTGTTTATTCAAACTCATTGCGTGAAGCTTTTCAAACGCTTTCCGGAAATAATAGGAAAAAAAGTGCCGAAAACAGTTGCTTTCATTTTCTTTAATCGACTAAAAGGAGCGATCAACATCCAAACATGTTCAAGATTTTCGGAAGTAGGTTTCTTTAAAAAGTTCAAGTTTCATCTTTTATTTCAATACCTGATACCATCTTAAGATTTAGGAGGACATTTTCACATAATACCTGTTGAACAATCCATGTGTATTGCATTGAAAAGTTTGAAAATTTTTATATTTTTTTGCTATTTCTTCGTAGTACTATGAAGCCGCTATGGGGTTCCAAGGGTCGACTTTCCAAGTACCCGATCAGCTCAGTGACGCGGGCAGTGAATATGGATCAGTTCAGGGAGAACCAAAAAAAGGTGCTCAAACAGATTACATCACAGAGCTCATATAAATCATGTAAATTAGGATACATTCATTCGAAAACTGTGACTTCATCAAATAAAAATAATTGATTCTAAACATAAAATACTAGCGTGATTTAAGTATTAGACGTAAAAGTGAAATTCACGGTACGAATGCAGTTGGGACTTCCAGGAACAGAAGACTTCAGTTTAAGTTACGAAATAATAGGAAGTGTTTAGGAATTATTTATTGGTTGTTAATATTGTATAACTTTAAAATGATTAAAATCCCGGTGAGGAAATATTCGGTATAAGTTAATGACAATGTGGTGAAACAGTGTAGGCAATGGAAAAACTAAATGCCATATTTACGCAGAGGCAAATTTAAATAATTCATCTATTGCGATGTGTTTTTCATAATTTATACTAATTTATATTCTAATTATACCCTGAATTGCTAACATGATTCACTTCATATGCTTAACAGTTCCAATATATCGCTCTTATCGATAATGCATCCAGTATTAACAAAAACGAAAAAAGTATCCAATAAATCTGTATATAATTAACAATGCACCAAACAAACGGAAAGCAATTTTCATATACATTTTTTCCCTTTAACCCTTTGTAACCTAGGTACTTTAAAGAGCAAAGGAAGTTGAAACCTGTTGAAAGACTCTGCATGCATAAATGTGAATGTTCGGAGCAGAAATAAAATGTTTTTAAAATGACAATATATAGTGGTTGGATAAAGAGAATCTGCCAATTAGAAAATGTAAGTTTTGAAGGCAACTGTAAAGTAGGAGCTCTTGTAACTTGTTAGGAATTAGTACATTACACAAATCAATGTAAGCAAAGTACATATATTTGTATGAAACGATATTTTGTATAAAATTTAGTTTAGCCACGTTGTCTTCAAAGTGTTTACGCACGGGATGATTATCAAGTGTAAATATAATTAATTTAAATAGAAAATACCTGTACAAAAGTGTTGCTCTGATTTAATTAATTTTAAACATTAAATCACGATTTATAAAATATTGTAAAAAATTTATATAATCTAGACAAGATCTCTTAAATGTTGTAAAGTTAAAACCTGCGAGAACGCGAAAGCAACAAATATCAATCCATTAGAATGATAAAAACGATGTTTGACGAATTTTCTTGTTACACAATCTGAGTACCCGTGTTATTTTTAGATCAGAGTATTTTAAAATGAAGTTATTGAACTTTTCATTACGAGAACACTTCTGATTTAGATAGTATGATGTAAGATATTACGTGGAAAAGGGAAAGACACCTTAATATTAACCGAATTTTCCTTCAGATTAATAATGAAAAAAGACGTAACAAAAGGAATATTTATCCTAAATAATTGTGTGTAGTAAGAATCGAACGTATTTTTTTCACAAGAAGTCATCGGCCTTGCATTTTCAACAAACATTTTTTTGCCATGTAAATTATTTTATTTATAGATACGTAAATAAGGTAGTGTCTAAGAATCTCAGAGTGTTGAATTAGGATTTTTTAAGTAATTTTGTTCTCACCTAAAGTTTTATATACTTGAATAAATGTAATTTATTTATGAAAAGTTATTCAAATGTACAACGTTGTTTGGAAAGTTGAAAAAAGAGTTCAAGCTATTTTATCCATTTTAATGCCATCGTAAAATGTTTATCGGTACGGGGGAAGAAAGGTTCATAAAGGGCAAAAATGTACAAAATAAAATTAATCTTTTAAATATTTATAATAACTATATTTAATTAGATAATACGCAATGACATTGTTTACAACAAATAATGTACCCATCCAGAGTGAAGAAAAACAAGTAAACAAGTGGATGAGTTCTAGATGAAATTGATCAGGAAAAGTTGGTATGCGTTTATCTGCAATAAGTTTTTAATACATTCGTTCGCTTACTAACAAAAATTAAAATTGTTTAACAACATTTTTGTTGAAAGCCTTGAGTGTTTGAACAAATCGACAAGTAAGTATAATTCAAATTAATAAATTGAAAACACAAATAATTATCTATATCTATATAATCATTCAAAGTAGAAAGAAAAAAAATGAAAAAATAACAAGTGATTATAAAACAACAATTAGGCATTCTGTGGACACGAAAACATGCAACTAAAGCAATAAGTAACGAGAAAAACAAATTTAAAAAGTGTTGGACGCATTTCTTAAACACAGATGTTTTTTGAATGGAGAATAAATCTATTGACGACATAAAGAAACAATACCAAAAGCAATGTACTCACTGAAAAATGTTTAAAATTCGTTATGGTACCGAGAAAACGTAAAATTCTGGTACCAAGTTAGCCATACTATCAAATTTTTTAATTCCTAAAATACAAGAAAAATGTGTATGAAGTAAGAAAATTAAATAGAATCTATATTTTAAATATTTCTAGCTAAAGGATTAGTAGAATTGACTTGTGATCTTGAACGAAGACTAGAAGACGATGAAATTATTATTTTCTGGAATTGCAACCTTTTAAAACAATACTGTTTTTTTTTAAGAAACTCAACATGATTTTTATACGTCGCCAGAATAATGAAGTATAATAATAAGTTATAATATGTATAGTAATACAAGAAAACTGAAAATTATTAGTACTTAAGTTTCAACTTGTCGAAAATTGAAACTCGAGTTGAAACTATCGTTGGGTCGTATAGAAAAAATACAGAAAATTCTTAACTAAATAATGGTAATAAAACGACTAGAATTGAACAGCAAAAATGTCAACAATTTACGATTTATTTTATTAAGTGAGTATTATTTATTTAAGTTGAACACTTAATATTACAAACATTAATCGGTACCTGGGGGTGGAGGTGGTGCTGGTCGAGTGACTGTTTGAATTGGTGTTGATAATCTATAAACTAATTAAGAAAAAAATATGCAATAAAAAATAAACGCAATTTAAAAAATCGCTTACTTTTTTTAGCAGCAATGGGAGGTTTGGGAGGATGATACGTTTCGTTTCTGGTCATTTGGCTGGAAAATGAAACCGAACACTCCCCAATTATGCTTAGGGCTTCTTTGCAAGCTTGGTACATTTGCATGTTTTCTTCACGTTTCCTAACTTCTTCAGGAGATTCTTCCATTAGACCCTCCTAAAAAAATGAGATTGATGATTATTAAGAAAACACTGTTAAGTAAGGCAATTGTATTGCATTGTATTGCTGTATGATAATTCTTAGTCAAAATGGGATTATTTTTCAAAAAGCGAAAAATTCGGTAGAAATGTTAAATATTCTGCAACTCACCTGATTTTCTGTTGAGTAGACATGCAGCAGCAACTCCTCGCTTATGAATTTTTTGGTGGTATTCAAAATCATGTGCGTTATAACTTTGGGAATTAAATCTTTAGTGGATTTATTTATAATCCCCATGTAACTGTCCACTAAGTTCCTGATGACTTCCACCTGTCGCTTAAGTTGGGGGTCAACTTCCTCTTTAACTTCAATATCCTAAATTATTGATGTCGAAAAATAAAATAGGAAAAGTTTCTTTGTTAAATAAATTTACTTCATTATTATTTGCTTCCTTCTGCCGTTCTGGATACACGCCTGCCCTCAGGAAAGATGCTTTCCATGTAACTTCTTCATCCAGTGAGCTACAGCTTAGCTCCAATTGTTTATTATCCTACATTAAATTAGAATATTTTTATTATAGATGAAAGGTAAATTGTTTTAAACATTTAGGATTTTACCTTGTAAATATTTCTTCCATTTTGATAAAACAGCCCAAACGTGTGTCTTCGTGAGATAAATTTCGATTCCAAGTCTTTCACTTTAATGCCATTCAAAGGCAAAATATACTGGATCTCTTTTTCGGTGTCGTCTTTAAACCACGCAAGACTATCTGATGTTAAGACAAACCAATAGTCTTTAGCTCCTCGAATCATACTTTGGTTGTGAATGCACATGTAACCCTTTCGAATCACTTGGTTTCCTGGTGCATTGCTGGTGCCGCTTATATTTTTTTCCGCTTGGTTTTCAGCACTGAAATTATAAATGAGCTTGTCAATTGATATTTTCGTTAATCCATTTTTTCATTCTTGTTATCTTCATTAGATCAGTTTTAAAAAATTCATTCTCGTATCAAAATAAAGCACCGCTATGTTTTGCATAAAACAAATTATGATTTTCATATCACCGTTTTATTAATTATTAATTAAATTACTGAGTACCTACTTGGCAAAACCAATAAAATCTTCATGATTGGTATTCATGTAGCTTAATTGAAAGTCAATGTACAGCGAAATTTGCTCTTTGCATTGCACTTCCGATTTGCTGAGCTGCGAGGAAATGATCCGTTCAATTGTATCGCGCAGCACCGGGTATCGAGCCATCTGAATTAAAATACATCTGAATCTAAATTAAAATAATTATTACTGGGTATCGGGATGGTATTATTTGGACCTTTCGCTGATTGTCGCGCGGATGCGTTAGAAATGAATGGAAAATGATCTTCGGTTCGTTAATTAAAGCTGTGTTTACCCTTTCAGTGCAGAAATGTATAATTTTTAAAAGTTCGGCGACGACAAGATCTGTACATTTCAGGCAAGGATCCTTAAGTCTGGCGATTTGCTTTTTCACTATAGCGTCAAAGGCCAGGTCTGGGGTAAAAAGGCCAATCTAAAAAATAACGATTTTTATTTGCAGTTCACATTTGAACAACATTAGTACTTAATACAAGTAAAGAAATGAATCGCATTCAAGCATAAATATCTTCATAGACAAGGGTCGGAAGCAAACTTGCTTACCCTAATGCCGTGAATATTGCAAATGGCTATTCCAATCTCTTTTCTCAGTTCATTTTCATCAAATTCCATTTTTACAATATCAAAAGGAAACCGTTCATGGAATAGCGAATTAATTTTGGCTCCGCCACATAGTTCGCTGGTATTGATCTCGCTGGACCTTGAACCTTCAAGGGCTTTTTCAAATTCTAACGAAAAGTTCTGGATCATCCTAAAATGCACATCCTAACTGTACAACTTAGGCATATAAGTTGGATAAACCAAATTCTCAAAAGCAACTACCTAACGACAGTTTTAACATTTTCCGGATTGTCTGCCATCCTGACTGATACGAAATGACAATTTTAAAGCGATCGGCATGGGTGATTATACTTTTGAAAAAAATTGAACAAGGCGCTTCTAAGGAAATTTTGGAAAAAGGGAACAAAAGACAACTTGAACAATTTTTTCAGCGACAAGGTTGTATATCGCACCAGAAGTATGAAAATACGGGAAAGAAATCCGAAAGCTTGGCCAATTTCTCTGGAGGGAATGTGAATTAAAAAATACGATAATCTATTGAGATTTGGCCTAAATAAATCTTGCAAGAGGAAAATAATTTGAGAAAAATTACACAAAAAGAATTAAAAAAAATGACCGGTCATAAAAAATGGATGATCTCTCGAATGGCTCAAGATACATAGACGAATAAAAAAAAGACATTTCGCATAACGCACAAGGCGATAACACAATATACTTTTTTCTGTCTGAGCTACCCGATATTGGCGGCAGACGGATTAGAATTTTGATCAAGAAAACATAATTGTATTTAAACACGCTGTACAAAATTTTTATTAAATTTTTTTGCTGATCTTATAGCTTAACTTTTGTCCAAGAATGGAGCTATGATTCCGCTATAAAGTGATTCAAATCGGATTACCAATTGAGAAAATACCCACAGTCAAAAGTTAAGAAATATTTAGATATGCGTTAAATTTGCGGCGCAGTGTATAAACACTCTAATCAAAAGTATATTTTTGAAGCAAAAATTGCAAGAGAAATTTCTTCTAGCTGAGAAAAACTTTTTTTTTAATTGAGAAAGTTTTTTAAGTTACTGTTGAAATGGCATTCCATTTTTTTAGAGTGGAAATCGAGAATAAAAATTGATCAGATATGCCATAATATTAATAAAATGTTCCGGGTTGATAATCATATTATATTAAAGAAATAAACTACAATATTTCCTAACCCATATGCAATCTGCGATTATTCAAACGAAGGCTGAACAGTAAAAATGGTTAAAAAAACCCTTGAAAATATGACCAATTTAATGTCTCCACAGAACAGACTTTCACCAAAATTGAGTAGAGTAGAAATTATTCAAAACCTTGTTACTGGCAACACTTTTATTTCCCTCAGATTTTCATTTCATAGATTTAACCTTGTCAATTTAATGCATCTCTTGGCCAACACCAGAAGAATCCTTGAAAATGATTATAAACTGTCACAATTTCAGTAACACTTACTGTAGCAGAGCTTTAGTTTTCATTGTTTTATCATCCAGCTTAAAATGTTTCATATCGCCTAAATTCTTCTCCAGTGCATACAGTTGTTTTTGCAATTTATCTCTAAGGCTCGGCAGAGTATTGTGAATATGATTGGTTAATTGAGCGTTTAAAGTCTTCTGCAGATATGTGGTTCCCATTTTATCAGCCATGTGTTTATAGGATGGATGTCTGCAAAAGATGAATGATAGAGTTTACTTTTCTTAGTTTTTTTAGTGGTTTAACTCACTGTAGAAAATAATCGCGTTCGGCCTTGATTTGTAACTTAATATCTTTCCCACCATCCAGGTCTTTTTGAGATCTGTTAATCACACCCACATACCCTCTTCGTAAAGGAACTAATTTGTTTTCCAAAACGTCTTTGGCATCAGTACCTTGATCCATGAGATCTAACTTTGTTAAAACTCCAATTGTACGAAAACCTACAAGAATCAATAAAAAGAACAAGTATAAAAACCATTCCAAAAAAGATGGAAGTAACGTCGATTAACAAAGTTATACTAACAAATACGATTAAGAAGACGTGAACGGTTTGACATTAATACAAGAAGCTTTTTGTAAACATGAAAATATTTTTATAACTAATAATTTACGGACTATTATCTTTGTTATACTGATTCCAATAACGAGGATATGAACAAGTTCTAACATTTACAGCGCTTGCTTCCTAAGGTACTTTCATTTAAAAAATAGATAATTGCTCAAGCTTTATTTTATGTGATCAAAATGATAGTGTTCTAAAAATGATTAAATAATAACTAAAAAAATCAGTTTGAATAAAATGAATTATTTCTAACTTATAGCTGATGCATACATTGACCATGGATAACAGTTACTTGTAAATTGTTTTATTAAGTCAACAAATACATATAATCAAGTTTTTTTTTAAGTTTGAAATACATTTCAAGCTGCAACATTTTTATACCTTTTGGATCAACTTCTTTGGCAATCTGAAGAGCATCCGAATTAGCCAAGTCCGTGTTAGCAGGAGTCACAGCCAAAATAAGACAAGAATCTCTCTTTATGTACTCTAAAATCATGTTTCGGATCTGCACCTCAATATCAGGTGGTTGGTCTCCTATAGCAATCTTTGTCATACCCGGAAGGTCAATGAGCGTCAAATTTAATACTAAAATAAAAGAAAACAAATAGTTTGAATAAAAGTTAAAAATTTAATTTAAGGTGTCATGCGATACAAAAAAAAATCGATTAGGAAATAAAAATCTGTATTTGTTTCTTATAGAAACACGTAACTTCTATGGTATTTATCAGGCAATTATATCACTAAAAACGGTTATAAAAGTAACTAATAATGACCACGGACGTCGTTATCTCAAATTGCAAACAGTTGTGAATACGACGAAATGTGCCAACATTTACTTTCAAACCGTTTTCAATAGACTTATTGTTGATGAAAATTAAGTTTGCAAACAAGTAAATTAGCAAATGCGTGCAATATTATTTCTTTGCATTTTATTTTTATACGCATTTCCTGTTGTATTTCTTCGCTGTTGATTGTGTTAAACAAAAATATCTAATTTGATTTATTTACTAGTTTCTAGTTCAATTCTATTAAATGTGAGTGGCCATTATTTCCCAAATCAACACTACATTAATGGTTACTACCGTTATTTTGCAATAACATTTTCACTTCTTGCTTACACAGGAAACGTGTAATGAGCTTGAAATAATAAGCAAAATGTTTCCTATTTACCTTACGCAGTGCGATTAGGAGATTAAGCTCAAAGAAGCCGAAATTATTACTGACAAATAGCAAAAATTCCGTTAATTTGTATTATTATTGGTTTATGTTATATTGACGTCAAATTTGTTAATGTTTAAACAAAAAAGGTCTCACACTTTTTCTCAGGGTTTTCCACGCGTATGAATGAAATCCAATTATTTATGTGCACTGTGGATCTTTTAAAGGCAAATGTGTTGACTGATCTCTGACTGGTAAAGCGGTAAAAACATTACGCAATTAAATCGATTCTAGTGTGAAAATTGTAGGTACATTAGCGACGTATTGGTTTTAAAATTGATTGAAGCTTATTGACCCAAAAAATTGTAAGTCTATACTATATCAGGTAATTAAACTAACGCCTCGTTCGAGTTAGAATTGCCTACCTATTCGATCGAAAAGAATTAACACGAAAGGTACCTACACTTACCTATATTACTTAAATTAATTTTTTTACTTCATCTGAACAAGTTTTTTTTATTAATTTTAGCGCAGTTTTTCTTTGAAATTTTGTGGTGTATTTATTACATTTTATGACATTGCAAACAGAAATTTTTTCTAAAATTAATTATATTTTCAAGGGCAAGACATGAAAACGTACAAGGTAAATAACATTGAATCATCAATTTCCTGCTCGGAGACTGTGGAGAGGGCATATTCGCAAACAACTCAATTTTGTGATTGATTTTTTGTTATTATTATTGCTAATAAATTGCTAAAAGTACCTATCTAAATACATTCAAAGCATCAATTCATACATACCATTGGGAGAAGATACTCTCAAATTAATAGGAAGATTTGAAATTCCTTTGTTTTTGCCCGTAACGCGGTCGGTGTCCGCTTCAATTTCTCTTCTAACTTCATTAAAGTCCATATATTTTTTACCTGGCTTATGGAGAAATTCTGCATATTCTGTATAAAAATATAATGTTTAATTATTGTTTTAAAGTGAATGTATTTAAATAGCTTACCATATTGTGAGTAAACTAACTGTAAAATGAGGGGCCTTCTGGTTACTATTCCTGATCCTCTGGGTAAAAAATCTCTAAAAAATCAAACGTAATGTAGCGTAAAAGTAGATATTTATTTTTTGTTGGAAAGATTCATTGCAGTGTTTTCTAGACTATAAATAAAACTAAAACTTACTTTGTAGTCACCAATCTATAAGATGATAGTGAAAATATTAATAATAATCGCTTTCACCAACGTAAAAATATCAAAGATAAATGATGATAAATTTCCACATAATTTTGATAACATTATAAGCCAGCCCCAAATAACCACGTAAGTAATGAACAAGATAGGACATAATTAATCATAAAAGTATATAGTTCACACCTTTCTTGACACTTTAATATGATAACCATAACTCATATAATACAGTCAGTTTTATATAGTACAATTTTATTACAAATTTAATGGCCTATTAAAAATTGACAAATTATGTAAGTACCTAAAGATAAAAAGAGGAGTCGATATTTTGACTATTATTATTCAGCGAATACTATCTGGTTAAATTAATAGGTACTGTGCCAGTAAGAGAAACTTATTTTGATACTATATTATTCTTGTTTAAGAGATTATTACTTGTTTAAAGAAACTAACACTAAACAAAATTTAAAACTTGAAAATAAGTGACAAAATCTTTAGAATTACTTGCCACATATTTTTAACTTGTACAGGTAGGAAAACGAGGAATGCATAAATGGAATAAAGGAAATCATAAATGTATTTGAAAAACAGCCCACATGTAACGCAAACGCAAAAGATCAAAAGAAAGGTTGTCTGTATTTAACATTCATGTATGTATTTATATCGACATTTATTTTTTGTTTCTGTAAATAATACGCGCAGAAAGCGATCTCCTAAGTTCCAGCAAGTACATATTTTTGATAGAAAACATTTACTTGCCATGTTAATAAAAACTATCTGACCCTTCTGCTAATGATAATCAAATTTATTTAAAAAAATATGTTTTATGTAATCTCGAGAATGCTAAGATTAATTTTAAAGAAATGTGCTGTAAACTTGGTCCTACGTAAGGATGATATTTTTTTAATTTTTACACATAAAATGTTTTTCTGTTCCCTTGTTATTTAACTACTTCAGACAATAACTATAAATGTGTCATATTTTTTATTGACACTTAATTCATATTAATAACAGTGCTTAATATGCGAAATATAATAAATATTTTAGCATAAACCAAGATATCCATAATTTAACTGGATAATTTTGACCATCAATAGAAAGGGATCCAGATATTTTCTATTAGCGACACTGAATTCAGATCGTCTTCTTTTGAGCCAAAATTGTCGTAGTATCAATTTGATAATGTGCTTATTGCACATACTGTAGATGATTTTATTTTTATACAATTTTACTAATTTTCATTTTTAAACGGTGATGTCCTTATCATTAAATTTACAATTTAGGTGCCTTTGAATTAATCTCTAGCATAATAAGTTATATGTAGTTGCATTTGGCATTGGCTAATATTTTAAAATAAAATATTTTTAAATTTTCATTGTTCTTGTGACAATAAAAAGGCGATTACACGTTATGTTCTGATTAAAATTTTAATTTCCAGTTTAATTTTCAGTTTAATTTTCGTACATAATAACTACTTGATATGCTGGATATGTTTTACGGCGTTGTGATTTTCAAAAGAGATAAAAATGTATTTTCGAGTTCGTCTTAAACAATTTTCAGCAGTGGAAGAGCTGTGGTAATAAACAAAAAACTTAAAATTATTGTATATTATTGGCAGCATTATTTTAATTTATATCATAATTCTACTATTTAATTTTGTTTATCAATTAGTTTCGTCTTTTAGACGTATAATTTACTATTTATTACACGCACAGGAAACCAACCAAATAAATAATGCGTTTCTACCAACAAACCTTCCTACTTCAAATGGAATAAAATAAATGATATGCTCAGATTTTTCACTCTGTTAAACAACATGAATAGTTAGTTGCTCTCTATCTATGATAATGTTTGCTCTTGACCGCAAATCAGGATAGGTTCCACTTATTTTTTAAGAAAAGAAACAAATAGTTTTTCTTGTTATATGAAGCAGAGCGTAATTTATTCACAAATATACAAAATTGAAACAATTGTTTATTTTATACATTATTTGGTTTTTGATTTCAGATAGTTTTCTGTCGAATTTTTCTAGAAATGTTTACTTTAAAACTGTTTTACTTTCTTATTGACTAGACCAGTAATTTGAAAAATTTCAAAATACCTAGAAAGAATTTTGTTGAATATCAAAACGCAAACTTTTTCCAATGAGTAATAAATACGCATATTTTTAAAGGAATTTGATAACTGATAACAATAGAACATAGAATCTGTGTCGACTGTTTGATACATGATTTAGGCTGTTCAAAGCTTCAAAATTCGGTAATTAAATATCTTAATAATAAAGGGTTTTGGAAAAAAATGTATGAAATTATAGGTACCTACCTAAGTAAAATTTTAATCGAAATTTTAACAAGAATTACGTATCACTGTACTTATTATATTACAAATTTTTTGATTGAAAAAAATTGGCAACCTTTTGAAAAATACTGATTTAGCAAATGAATAAAGCCTCAACTTAATTAGTTCTTGAGTAAACCATACTAGGGAATTTGAATATTTTTAAAGCATTTTTAACTCTAATTCTGATCTCGTTGGGTGCTTCGCAGTGGCGGCGCCAGCTTCATCTTCCGCTTGGGCGAAAGCCGGCGAAACATTTTTCAAGATTTTATTGTAAGAGTTGGATACAATATATCTGTGTTACAAAATATTTTATTTGGCTCTTTGGCCGAATATAACGTAAAATATTTTTTAGTTATTTTTATTTAACATACAAGCCTTGCAAAGATTCATTTTTAGTAAGCACTTGTACTTTTAGTAAGCACGACATGTTTTTGTCAAACAAGGAGCTAACACAGTTTGACAATACCTTGAGTGTCCCAATATTAATTTACAATACAAATATTACACGAGACTTTATCTACTTCCGTAGAATAACGGAAAAAATGTTACAAAAATATATTTCACAACTGTGAAATTTTTTTAAACGTTATTATGTTTGAAACATATGCTCTGAATGATATTCGCTACAACACTAGCATTGTAATTAAACCTATTATAAACAAATCTATTTTTTGAATTAAATAATTTCCTTTAGAAACGAAAGTAGATTTAAAATATTTGAATTAACGAATGCCATTATAGACATTGAGTAAATCTTTAATAAGGTAGTGAAATAATTCAATACTGAAATAATTATTCAAGCAAAACATTAGAAGAGGCATTCTGCTATTATTATGTTTAGCAGCAAACGAATCTATAATTAACTCTAAATCTATTTTTTGCAATTTTTTTTCCAACAAAATGCCCAAGTCAGTAAGCCTATCCTGACTCAAAGTTGCTCTTAAATAATTTTTAATTCTCTTTAAAGTGCTGAAAGTTCTTTCACAACTTGCACAAGAAGATGGCACCGTCATTGCAATATTACATAGTTTATTCATTTCAGGGAGGAAAACTAAAATATTGCAAAAAATTGTGAGCTCTGTTGAAGTGTTTATTTTTAGTTATTTGAGACTACATACCTCTTAGTGGTATTTGGCAATGACTTTGTCTCGTTTTCAATTGAAACTATATCACATTGGTAATGGCTGGCTAAAGAGGCAGTAACAAAATTTAAACTGCTGGTTCCACCTTGTTTGAAGACAAATCTACAGGGTAAAACGGAATCCAGCATCTTTGAGAATGCTGTACTCAATCCAAGGGTACGTGATACAGTAATTGGACTAAACTACGAAGATCACAACCATACCGTTTTTTAGGAAAACTTGCTAAGACCGGCTGACAAATCAATGACTTCTTTTTCCTGTATATGAAACTTTTTGTATCTTGTCCTAGTAGCAAACAAGTACCCATATTTAGATTAGAAAATAATTTATTAATATTAGGTACTTAAAAATGTACTTTTCAATTCCCGAACAACTCGGAATGTTTTCACATTCACTATCATTCTTGTCGAATTTGAGCGGATTTTTTTAATTCGCAATTATTTATAACGCTATTGAAAGTGGTTGGGCGAGACAAATTTTGGTTGGGCGCTCGCCCAACCTCGTCCAACCCCTAGCGCCTCCACTGGTGCTTCACATGTGCAGATCCAACGAACAGGTACACCGTTAATTCCGATAAGTAGATAAAGGTTATTTTTGTAAATATACCGACAGATGATAACATTTTAAACGAACAATGAGCTTTGCTCCATTTAGATGACCTTAATGGCTAACGAGTTTAGTGAGTAGAACTGCGACAATTCGCGTGAAGTAGAGCCAGATCAGGTAACTACAATGAGATGGTAAATTTATTCGCTACGCTTACATACTCACCTTCCGACAAAATTTTCTAAAACTGAACTTTTGCCCGCACTTTGCCCACCTACTACAGCGATTTGAGGCAAATCAACAGTTAATTGAACACCTAGACGAGTGAATGCGTCTTGCAATTTATTCACCACATTGATAAGTTGTTCCATTCCCGAAATGCCGGACATTTTTCCACGAATGTTTAGCACATAATAACTGAAAACATAAGTGCAAGATCGAACCGTTGGAGGAATAAAACTTGTTTACTCCTTACCTAAAGCGGTGTTTATGGTGACTCACTCGAACGCTTTTAATTGTTGGTAATAAGAAACCCGTTCACTGGCCGCATCACCAACACTCAAAACACTAACTGAAACTTGGAAGCTTCATGCTCAAGCCCTTTGTCGTTATCTTGAAATTATCTGGTTTTTGGTTTTATATGTCGATAAGGATAACAATGGGAGTAATGTCATCGTTCTTTCTCCTCGTCTATACTCGTACAATTAAGTTTGATATTTAAGTCCTTGATGTATGTATTCAATTGCTGTTACGTAGAAATTTGTTGTAATTCTCCTCCGGCGCATAAGCTGTTTAGCAATACTGCGCTACTTTGGTTGCATATAGTTTAATAAAAAAACAGAAATTGATGAAAATGAGTTTCAAACGGAATTAACTTGTTCAGGTGGTCGTTTTAGATAAAAAAAAAGACATCATGTAATATAAATACATTAATATTATATTACCGATATCCCCAATTTTGTTGTTTTTGGGCTAACTGTGCTATTAGTGCTGTATTTGAATAATAAAACTTGTTTTCTGCATTGATAGCTTTAAACCCAGCAAAACTACGTCTCGTATCTCGACCTGCAATTACGACTGCTATATACTAAATTGCGCTTTGAGGATCATTAATTTTACGTTATCATAATAGTACGAAGTAGGCCTGGGTAACTCAGTGAATTTTTTGGAGTTGGCGCAGTGCTGCGCAACTGGTTTTGTGCGCCAACCCAACGCACTGGCGCAGTAACTCATTTCCGTTGCTTGCAAAAAACTGACTTTTTTGTTAAGTTTTTCATCGATTTATTTTAAGGGCCATTTATTAACAATATTTTTAGTTTTGAAAAAATTTCAGAATTTTACAGTTCTAGCAAAGTTACTGTTTCTTCTAATCGCTTATTTTTTTATTGTTTCACATAAAAATACTGACAATCTAAGGATATTTTCCGCGAAAAATTTTAAAATAAATTTTCTTACAACACACGCTTCCGTCGTTTCGTAAAAAGTATTGAAATCCTTTTCCAGCTTCAAATGTAGGACAAAAATCAAATATTTTTATCATACATATATTTTATTAAAAAGCGAACAGAATATAACCGAAAGTTTATAAAAACTCATCACCCCCATCTCTCTGAAGACTTTAGAGTTGGTTTAAAAACTGTGGATTTTTAGTTTTGATCGATTTTTTTGCTTTACTTTAAAGACACTCTATTTTATAGAATTTCACTTAAAACTATAGACAGTCTGGAAGTATTTTACGCGAAAAATTACAAGATAAATTTAGAGCTGAAGGAATTTATCAAAAACCTTTTGCAGTCGAGAGTCGAATTCGGGACAAAAACGAAAATAAGTTTTCCCATTTCATTCGGAAAATTATTAAGGTTTTCTGAAAAACCGATCACAAAACTAAAAATTTTTTATCGAAAGCGCAAAAAATCCATAATTTTCTGATGCTTTTCTTCTTTTCCCACAACCATGGGGTCTTTTCAGCCAAAAACGACACAATTAATTTTGTTAGAAAACTGGCCTCATGCATCGCTTTGCAGCACATTTTAGAAAGCCCTTTTGAGCTTCGAATTTGGCACAAAAACCAAATAATTGTATTTACTTTTTCCCAAACTAATTAAGATTATCTTGAAAAAACGACCAGAGTAAAAGTTTACAAAAAATTATTTGGAAAATTCGCTACGCTCATCGCTCTGAAGAATTTTAAAGTTTATTTGAAATTTCAGCTCTTTCCAGTTTTAGCAAAGTTTTTCTTGCTCAACACTCAAACACTGACAATATTCAGGTATTTACTGTGAAAAATTATCAAATACATTCTATTGGAACACTCCCCTCCTTAACCGCTATGTGAAGCTTTTTTTAAAACTTTTGTAGCTTCAAATTTTGGACAAAACCCTAATAACTTTTTCTGGGTTTTTTCTAAAAATATTTTTCCGAACAGAACAAGCGAAACTTTTTAATCAATTAATTCGAAAATTTGCCAACTGGGTCGCCCAATTCTTTCTAAACTGCGGCAAACTGAGGGTTTTTGAATCAAAAACTGGGCGTATTTATAGTCTTCGTTTCCTTCATTTGGTGTCTTTTTTGAACACCCATTTTACCTTTGAATTTGGAACAAAATCCAAACAAAGTTCTCTTGTTCTTTCTCGAAAATATTAGTTTTTCAAAAAAACGATCAGAGAAAGCAAAGGAATATAATCAACTATTTGAAATTTACATTTAGGAATGTTTTCCGGGCTTTGAAGCCGTGGTCTATCGGAATTTCTTCCTGACGTTTCGT